TTAATATTCAATAGCTTTTTCTAACTAGATATATACCTTACTTCTGAAGATGTCGAGGTTTGAAATTATAAATATTTCACATGGTTTATAATAACAAAAACTTGCATGCGCCATCTAGTGCTAGTTCTCACTACATGAAATGTTTATATTGATTGCACAAAGAATGATATCTGGCACGTCTATATATTCCTGAAAATTTTAAAATTACCAGCTCAATGCCCTAATATCTCGAAAACTAACCTATATTCAAATGTATGATAGTCGAAAGAAATTACTTAGAACAGCTGACTATCCTAAAAATCGTCATTAAAAAGGCGTGCCTAAAAATTCGAAATAGTGCCTATAGTTCTTTTTTGTGCAGTGATTTGGTGTTTAAATATATTTTTAAGAATTTTCTGGTGACTGAGTCTGGTTTGTATCGCTGAGAAGATTATCATTTTACCACATATAAAAAGGTATCAGTATATTCGTGGTAACGCATTTGGATTTGAATGTTTTAAAGGTAAAGATTAATTTGAGCTTGGTATCAAAAGATTAAAGAGCACTGATACTGATCGGGTATTCAGCTAGTCTATTACATTGTATTATTCTAAAACACTATATTATATTTTTTCAATAAGACATAATTATCTTAAACCCGCTTCAAAGCTTATACCTTAAAAGTAGTAAAAATTCTTTTCAATTTTTTTAATGTACAATCTTTTTGAAGCTCTAACCTATAAATGATAGTATTGTTATTATGTCTCACTAAGAGATATAAGAGATAACTTAAATATAGCTTAGTTTGACATACACTTTAATATAGACTTTGATATACACAAAAGTATCTGATTAAGATGGCAACGCAGATCTTGGGGAGTCGTAAAAAAACCTCTCAATACTGTTCCACTATGAAGGACGCCTCGCAGTTATCGTAAAGATTAACCAGTTTGTTAACCTAGCGGTTAACTGTAGCGTCATATTAATGATAAATTTTCTGGGTTTCTTCCAGAATTATAGAATACTCGTATCCAAAATAATTTGATATTTTCTTAAATATTATTTCATTTTATTTTATTTATTTAAAATATTATTTATAACACAAGTAATACTTCGAACATAACAAGTGAGTATTGGCGAAGAGTATTTCTATGGAAATATTTCGTTTCTAGATTTTTATATATATTTTTAACAAATTATTGAGTTGTTTGTAAAAAGATAGACAAATCAATTTTGCAGATAGAAATCTTTTTATTGTGCATTTCACTTTTTTATCCTCGAGGGCAAACCACTTCAATATTGTACTCGTATAGTTCATCTTTGAAGGATCGCAAATCTATATAACATATTTACATACTCAAGTATTCATCTATTGTATTAAATGTACGCATATGCTAAAGTATTTCCAATACTTCTATTCACATGACTTTTTGCTCCATGCTTACCAATATTTCGCCTACCAATATTTTTCAAATTTTCCACCTCATTAGAGCAACGCACTCGATTGAGTTGCTCGCATACTTCATGGAGAAAACTCTTGTATCAACTCCATAAGTTTTGTTTTTGTTGCCATTTATCCATCCTTTCAGCCGAAAATATTTGTGAAGCACTTGTCGAAAAAGATACACTGCTGCCTCCAAATACCAGCACCGAAATTTAGAGCAGTTGAGAATGAAAATGTTTGCAATTTCTTGCTGAATTTTATTGCGTGCGTATTTATCTTAAAGTCAAATAATCCTTTTTGCTTCCTATTCGAGCCTCTTTCATGTTTTCGGGATTAGTTTAAAGTGGAGTTTGCAGTGAGGCACATAAATTACAATGTTATATATCATATAAATTCATATAGCATTTATTGTGATGTGAAATATCTTAATATGTAATTACCAAATGAGTTCGGATGATAACAAAGGACTGTAGATTTTATATTTAAGTTTTTCAGGTTAATATTTTCAGTAATTTTTTGGTGTTGAATCCATGGCATCCATGGCGAAGAAATTAAAAATAATAGAATGGCGTACTCCACCGTACTCCACCACATACTCCATCTACTATATCTTAGTATCCAGAACTAATTTAAGATCAGGATAATGATTTTACAGTGAGATCCTTGTTTATTTTTGAAAATGAAACCCATGAACCTCTAACAATCTGTAAGGGGCAATAGTGTGTTCTCTACTGGAGGAGTGATGTGAATATATAGCATGACTTTCTCAACTGTCAACCTCACTTGCCCGTGGCACATCTTGTTTTTCACAAACAAGGCTCTGGCAACCGAGTACAGGCGGTATAACCTGAAAATATAAAGACCCTTAGGGAGACCAAGGTTCACACTGGACTGTAATGCCAAATAAGAGGAAGAAGAAGAAGAACCCACCAATCTCAATCTAATTTTCAGCTTCTTCTGTGGATTAAAAAAAAGTGTCAAAAGTTCAAAAAAAGTTTTAGTACTTAGTTTCTTTTATCATAATGGTTATGGTTAATGATATTTAGGGGTTTTCGGGTTCTGCTAAGGACGTTTATTGTGCACCCCTTTGTATTTAGATGTTTAGTATCTCGACGAATCGAACCAGCTCTTTCGGAGGGAGTTTTCGAAGGTCTTCATCTTCTAGTTGGTATGTACCTAAAATTTTGTTTCTTCTATGGCCTAGTGCATCACAGTTGGTGATCAGATGTTCCATAGAGTCTTCCTCATCACAGCAGAATCTGCAAATATTAGTGTCTGATATACCTATTTTATGTAGGTGTTTATTACATGCGGCGTGGCCTGTTAGTGCACCAGAGAGCGAATTTAGACTCTACTTGCTTAGGTTGAGAGCGGTGTTTGCTATTTTGGCATCAAAATTTAAGAATTTTTTGAAATGATATAGGCCGTCTATTCCGTTCCAGTATTAATTGATACTTTTTTGGATCCATTTTTTTGTCTTCTGTTTTTTGTTCGTTTTATTGAAGCTAAAGAAGGGGGTTGGACCAACGAATGATCCTTCTGCCTCCTTTTTGGCATAAAGGTCCGCCTTTTCGTTGCCTTCGTGTCCTTTTATCCTCATATCAATCATTTTATTGCATTTGACACCACAAAAACTTGAAACCCGTATTGTGTATTATATTTTGCAACTAATTTAATAAGTCTTATTTATTGATTAAAAACAACTGTTATTCAAAAAACAATTTGATGTTATTCATTATAATAATCATGTTAAAAAAATTTAAGACTCTGTTGTTATCGTGTTTCCAGTCATGACCGCAGCCAGAAAGTGGATCAGGAGTGCCACTTTCTGAAAAAATTTAATAATTAATATTAATAATCTCGTTTAATATCTATTTTTACGTGATTAAATCGGGAAATTCTTTTCATCGCAACAGGCGACTGCCTATATATGTCCATATCTCCGCCAATACTCTAGGTCACATCACTCTACTGTTCTTTGGGTCACAGTATCCACTTGAAAAAATGGAACACCACACTAGATAAAAACATAAATACATACTGACACTTAATCAGCGTTATTTTATGTTCTAGACACTTAGATATTTTATTGATTAAAGATAATTATTTAACCAGGCTGAACATATTTACAATAAAACACAAGAAAATTTATTTAAAATAATTGCATTTCGATTGCTTCCTTTTCGATTTTTGAATTTATTAGGCTTTCTACTAAGAGGAGAAATAGCAGTTCTTTTTTTCCTACCCTGAGTATTTTTATTACAAAGCTTTCTTAAAGTTTTCTCGAAAGCACTGTAAATTGGGGAAATTGACTTTTAAAAAGGCTTGGGACATTTTATGAGAGGGGCCGTTGGAGGAGAAATAGTGGGCGACTTCCTTTTAAGGTTAAATATCGTAATGTTTTAAGTACATTATACGAGCTTTTAGATGAATTAAGGAATTTCAGCTAAAGAGCATAACATCTTTACCAAGCCTGTAACCGCAATCTAAATAAGGACGTAATCTTACGGTATTACAAACAGTTCAGACATCTTTGATGCTTTTAAATATCGTATTATTACATCTGCTGTTAGTTTAAGCTTACGTTCTCTGAATAACAAACTAAGACCGTACAGTCTATAAAAACGGTCTTCGTAATAAAGCTTGATAAGAAGGAAAGACCAAAGACCGTATTTTTGTAAGGTGTTAAGAACGTGACAATACGGTCTGAGATGGTTTTTTAAACTGCTAAGGTGAGTTATTAATGAAAGCTTTTATTATTCTGTACAAGGACCGGTTATTATTCCAGACTCCCACCATAAATAGTAAGGCTTGCAATAATGGAGATAATTTGAATAAGGAATTGCGGAAATCAATGAATGCAACTAGTTGGATTCACGCAATCTGTATTATCTTATTTCTTTCATTTAGTAGCAAATTTCTTTTTATTATAAGTCCATTTAATACATAAATACATTCAAATTTAAAAGTTGTTTTTCGATACATAATATTTCGCGTGTGTAGCTATTTTTGCTAATGTATCTCTAACCAAACCATTTTTCTAACTTTATAGTATTTTATTAAATATTCATATAAAATAATAATTCAAGACTGAATGATTTTGTTGTTCTGCTAACGAATAAAATAAAGGAGTAATATTCTCTTTTAAAAATACAGTAAATTCATTCATCACAGCAGTTAAGAACTTTATATCCTGTGACATAAAATTTCTACTTCTATTCAGAATTTGTTTTAAATAGAAAAAAGTAATAATGAGAAAATTTGCAAGTTCTAAAAATAAATTTTAATCAAGTGAGTTCTGAGGCTGCCCATATCTCTTAATTATTTCTAGTTGTATTAGATAAATAACGTTAACTTTTTAGCATTGTCCGTGCAAAGAGATCTAGTTCGTGCAAAGACCTTTAGCCTACGTATGAACAAGCGCCAATCTTCTTCTGTCATACAGGCCATGTGTTTTTGAACTTAATATTATAATCCAAGTGACAAAAGTCTACTCTACCAATCTTAAATACTTTAAAACTTTGCTTTATTTATTTAAAAATTAAATAAAAAATTCTTGCAAAATTTCGGCTGATAAAATGCTTTATGAAAAATGTTTAAAAAATAATAAAATACTGCAATAAAAATACTGAGAACTAATTTAAGTTTAGTAGACCACACTTTTAAATTTCTGCAAACATTCACTTAACATTAAAAATTTTGTTTCCGGCATAAAAAAGAACACCAAAAGACCCAAGAGTAGTCCAAGTGAACCAAGACTGAAGAAAAATATTGACGTTTTATAATTGATGTTGAAGGCGATTATGGCTAAGGACAACTGCAATAATTGCTCACACACGATGACACTAGAAATGCATTTTGACTTCACAGTTAGAGTGAAGGCTTCAGCCGTGTAAACTGATGAAGCCAGCGCAATGCCAGTGCAGGTAATGAATTGATATGCAAACATAAGATAAGCTGCCAGTTCCAGCACTAAGTGTTGTGTTATATGTTGTAAATCCTCCACATGCTCGAAGATACCACCAACAATAAAAATGAATATTGCGCCCAAAAGCAATGAAATAACAGACAATTTGCGTCTCCCTTGTTGATCAATTATTAAACCACCGGTTATGCTGCCTAGTAAACCAAAAATAGCTAACAGATAAAGGCAATTAAAGTCACAGCCCAAGCCATGCCAACTGACGCTAAGAAAGGCGCGATTGAAAAGCAGCGAAAGGGATATAGTGGCATAACAACGGACTAAGACAACTTTGAAAAGCGTTAGTAGATTCTTCTTGCAAAAATTAGCACATCCTGCTTGTCCAGCGTCGTAGACGAGTAGCTGTTTACAATCCTCACGTATGCGTAAGATATCTGTGTTAGGATAATTTTCTCCTTGCAAGCGTTTGAGTGCTTGGGTTGCTACCAAGTCTCTGTGTTGCATTTGTAGCAGTAAAGGTGATTCAATGCGATGGAGTAGCGTCATCAGTATTGCAAAAAGTCCTAAAAAGGCAATAGCTATCCCATGCAATTGATCGATATGTAACGTGTAACCATTTGGGGGCTCAAATTTAAACCATAGGCGTGTATAGAGTAATTGCAAGCATATACCAAGCCAAAGGAATATGCGTTCACATGACAATAGCAGGCCACGTATGTGTCTCTCTCCGATTTCGCCACCAGTCACCAGCGCTTGCACGATCGTTAGCCCGTAGGCACAGCCTTCGCAGATACAACTCGACACAACAGCGGTGAAGTAGGTGGGCACTAAAATGAAGTTTATGCCACCGAATATAAGCAAGGCACCACTAATACACTGAAAAAATTAAATTCGTTAAAGTTATTTAAAAAAAAAAATTAATTTAAAGCAATATTGAAATAATTTTTTTATATTCTTTCATGATTGAAGGAAATTGTGTTTCTCATTAGACGTTCAGACGGCAGACATATTAGAAGTATTTTAGTCAACTGAAAAGTAGTTCAGCAAACTTCTTCTCTATGTTTTCTTTACTAATACAATTTTGGCCTACATTTTGTTTTAACCTTTTTTTATTAAATATTTAATTAGTAGGTATTTTAATACAAACTCGCAGTCTGACACTTATCAGTTCCATTGAAGTGGTTTCTTATCAAATCCATTTACCTATCAAATTTAATTTATTTTCGGTTTCAATTTATTTTTATTGATATTATTGGTATTTTTTTCTTGTCTAAGTAATGCCTTTTTGTTTATGCTACATTTATTTATTTAAAAAATAATATAAATAAATTAAAAAAACAAAAATTATAATTTAATCAAACAAAAAATAGTTAAAACTATTTCCGATTACATGAAAATATTTTATTATATATGAAGAGAACATTTATTTACAATTCTGTTACCAATAATAGAAATATTTACTGTAAAAAAGACTCAACAAAAGTATGATTTGGCTTAGAGTAAGTCTATACTTCAATACTCTTCAAGACTTTACTTAATTACTTATAACAAAAACTGTTATATATATACTACACACTCATTTGTGACTAGGAAATAATCAAAAAATTCAGTTGCTTGAGTTTAAAATATAACATATACAGGCAAGAGATTCAATAAAATTATATATACAATATTACTTTGGTGGTACAATGTCTCCACAATACTCATAAAGATTGGAGAAAATTCATTGCCAGTGCAGTATGATGTCTTCAACAGAGTAAAATAAACATTTATTGTCATTGCAAATCTATGCTTCCACAAAAGAGACAATGAAAAGTCAAACCTACAAGGAGTGGAGAAAAAATGTATATCTGAACGCTATAACTAAAAATCTGGCGATTCCAATAAGATGTCTCTACACAATTTATAAAAAGTGGTTGTAATGCCAATACAATAAAATGTCTCCACAAACCTCATAAAAAGTAGCTGTAATGTCATAAAAATGCAATGTCTCCATAAAATTTATAAAATGTGGAGAAACATTGTTGAGAGATAGAGCCATCAGTAAATCTAAAATATTTCTATTAATATATAGATAGCTACTCCCGTAACTGGAACTTGAACTATTGAAAAAAATGAGGTGGAATATCAAAACCTCTGAATAGTGTGTATATCGAAGACTGTTAAGAACTTTTTGGTTTCAATTAGATATAGTCCTAAAATCAGGCTTTTAAGCTGAAATTCTAAATCAGGTTTTTAAAATGAGTTTTCAATGTACATTTTACCCCAAAATCAACAGAAATTTGGGAACAATGGGTTGTGCGGGATGACAACGGAATTCTTTTGATAAGAAAATCATTGTTCTAAAAACCGACGAGTGAACAATTGCGAAGAGCCAGTTTAAATGAATTGGAGCACCACAATGGACAATGTGTCATTGAAATTGTGCACTACGCTCCGTTGAGAACAAAAAACGGATATATATATATATATATATATATATATATATATATATATATATATATATAAATGTATGATTATTTTAGTTGGGTCCTAAACAATTTACTCAATTTTTTATAATTTTATACAAATTTATGCAAATAATTTTTATATAATCCCTTAATTTTCCGTATTTATCCGCCTGGATGTACATAGTTTCTATGCAGAGTTTTCTTAAATTTCCTAATTCACTAAGAGACGACCTAATTATTATTATTGACATATTTTAATCTTATATTTATAGAATAAAATTAAGAACTAAGGTTTCCCAAATTAAAACTTCTAGATATTTTAGTATGGGTTTGGCTAATTAACTTGAGCCTAATTTAAATACGGGGTATATGATAAGTTTAATGGACTTAAGTAAACAAAAGAAGAGCCATAAGCTTTTGCATTACAGGATACTGCAGAGTCTTCGTTTGTGTATTGGTTTCACTGCCAGTTATGTATGTGTTATCTATCAGATATCTGTATAATGTGTGCTTTAAGAGCGATTAGAAAGATATACATTGGTATCAGCTTATTTTTTGATATACTTATTAGTGCTGTCATATTGAAAACCTGTCATTAAAACTACATACCGCATATGGAATAAATGGTATGTAATTTAATCGCATTCTCTATAAAAAAACAGTCTGCAAAACGAACAATTTTTTAACGGATTTAAAAAATACCAACTGAAGAGCATTGCTTTTAAAAATTTCTTCACACTCCGTTAAAAGAGATTCCTTGAATTACTTACATGTGCAACATTTTTGCTAACGCGCTGTACAAATGTGGCTGCCAGTATGGCTCCGAGCAGAACACCCAAAAACCATGAAATCGTTAACTGATGCGTTGCAAAATTTGATAGGAATTTGCCGGAGGGAGATTCAAATATTGACCACGCCAATTTCATGCCACCAGCAATAAAAACAAATGACGCTGAATAATGTGCACAAATAATTGAAAATTAAAATCATTTAATATTAAAGGCTGTGCATTGTTTCAAATTACCAGCGGACAAAGCCTGGAATTGCAGGCGATACTTCCACATCGAGCGCAGCAACGTCGGCTTATCCTCTTCTTCGATAGTCGGTAACACAGGCATTGTCGTTTACAGAGCAATCACCGAACACTCACACTCATACACGAACACGAACACGAACACAACTTCAACAGTCAATAATTAAAACACAAATTTCGCATTGAACAAGGATGCGAAATTCTCACTCCTTTGTCATTTTATTTCGCTAATTTAAGACTTTATGTGGCGCGACAATTCGAGGAAGAAGAAAATGTATCTGCGGAAAATAACGCGATGCTTAAATGAAAATATTTCCATGTACGCTTTCAGCACGCGTCCAAGCAACTGTCGAATAGTTTCGTTTGAAAAGCAATAAACTAAGGTTTGCTCTGGTCAGACGCGTTTCTATCACTCACCACTGATAAGATAACTTCCCAGTGGTTTACCGTGGCAGCACTAAAGCTGATAACAGAGCAATAAAAATTATTAACTTGGATAAAATTCAGTTAATTTTAAATGATAAAGTAGGTGATTTGATATATGGCTCGCTTAGGTATGCTTGTTGTTGTTGGTTTTGTATCTATAGATAACCGCATTTCCATGTATTTTTGTTTACATTTTTATATTGCATTGGATTGGCCGCTGAACCGTTGGTGGTTAGTGTGGGTTGTTATCGATAAAATTTCTTTACCACATAAAAGCTGGAAAAATAAGCTTTCTCTAATAAAAACAATCATATCTTCAGTTCACAACAATGCATGTTACGACAGGTGCAATTTGGTTAATTAAAATGAAACTGAAGGGCTCCTTCATCTATAGGGCAATTAAAAACTCAATATTTATAAAATAATTAATAAAGAGATATAAACTAATTATATCTTGTATGAGTATGGGTGACGCTAAATCAATTGATTATTTGCATTTGGTGTGAATGCTAAGTATCTTTTATAAAAAAGTATCTAAGTATCTTTTATAAAAGATACAAAAATGGTACAATACCTTACTTACTTATTTGGCCATAACAATCAGGCTTTCGGTGTGACGCAGCGTAACTCTCCAGATGCCTCTACTGAGTGTGCGTCTTTTCCAGTCTCGTACATCTAGTCCGGTTAGTGCTTCCTCAACTTGATCACTCAACTGTAGATATGGTCTACCTCTTTCTCCTTCCTTCTTTCTTTCTTTCCGCCAACTACTGCTTCAAATATATTTTTCGTTAGAGCAGCTTCATTCATTTTCACGATATAACCAAGCCGTTGCAGCTTAATTTGCTGAATTATAACAATGTCGTGATAAAGCGGTAGTCTTCATCATCTTGGTCCTTCATCAAGAGGACCAAGATCTTATAAAGACCTTTTCTTTCGAATACTCCTAGTGCTGCTTCATCATTCTATATTAACGTTCATGCTTCTGCACCATACAGCAGCACAGGAAGGATGAACAATCTAAAGAGCCTAAATTTTGTTAGGCGTGGTGTATAATGCCCTGTCAAGACATATATAAGAATCGCAATGATAGTTGTTTTAAACTAAAGGAAAAATACTGCAATATCATTAGCAGAATTATTATGATTAAAAAAATGTACTAAATTGATATGGGGTATGTCTGTAATAATCTAATTGTTTTCTATGAGATCAATAGAGCAACATATAAACCAAATACAAACAGTTTGATAATAGTTATGAAATAAACAGAACTTATACAAAAAGTTATAATCTAGCTAGCAAGTTGTCGGTTAGATTTGGTTTGAGTACTTGGTTAGAATGAGCTACATAACTAAACCAACTAAACACCCTTAGTATTGCCAGGGAGAAAAAGAAGATTGACATATTTTTAACAAATTACAGTAGTCTGGTAAGTACTTTTTCCAAGGCTCAATAGAAACCTGTGAGCTATCACCTTGCTATTTTTACTTTAGTCTCAGTAATGCTGCTCATTGGCAGGATATGCTTCACCATTCTTCTCGAATCTAATATTCTATATTTCCAGTATGTATGGCCAAGTCCATTCTTATAGCGAAAGCAATCAGACTATTAGCAACTAACAATGTATTTTTGACAATAAGAGTATGCGACCTGCACAGTATCTTAACTAACTTGCAGATTTGTGACTGTATCTACATATTTTCTGTTGTTTTATCTAAATATGCTCCGCTCCTGTATTTACGCTGTGGTCTGCAAATTCATCAGAATGTCCTCTGTATTAATGTAACTTCTTTCTTATGTAGCTGATGCGCTATTTACTTGCCCTAATGATCGGGCACCCAGTAGATTCAAACCAAAAGCATGAAAATTGTTCACTACTCTCTAAAATGAGATCTATGGTTTCTTTATATATGAGAAAAGAATCGTATCTATGATATTATTAAAAATATGTTATTATTTACTGAATGGAATATTGTGAAATCACACCTCTATAAATATTTCAGTAATTTCTGATATAATCGTATTCTTTATGCTCTCTCTATCACCATCATGTTTGGAGTAAATCCTTTCTCAAATTTCTCTTGTTATGCTTTGCCGACATAGTCGAAAGCTTTTGATTTTTCTTAGCTACTGTTAACATATAATAAATAAATTTGAAACAAAATTACTTGAAATTTTTAGAAAGTATTTGTATTCATGAATCAATCTGTTTCTATATTATATAATGGCTTTATTCTATATATTAACTAATGGCTTTTTTCATTGCTAAATTCGGATCCAAACTAGATTCTATTTTTTTTGTGTCCAATTTGGTTACCTAACCGAATGGTTTTCGAATAATCTAACATTTTTGTAGTAATGTTAGTAAACATTAATATTTTTCATAAATAAATATATCGAATCGAATAACTCTTTATCTGTCAAGTCATGTAAAGCATGTATTCATTTTAGGGTAATGTTGCTGCTCTGGTAAAATATCTGGAGTCTTTTAAATTAATGGATTGTTATTTCACTCGTGATTTACTAATCGAAAACAAATATTGCACTCACAGTGAAACTGGATTAGAAAAGTTAACCCAGTTTTACCAATCGAAAACGGCATAAGTACTTCAGTTACTAGTACCTAAAAATATATAATGTTTAATGAGGAAAGATTTTGCTTCAGAATCTTGCATACTTTTTGGCGATTATATTTAACGTATACGCTATTAATTTAAAATTACTTTCAGAAATAATTTCACAATGTAGACTTATTAGATTTTGGTTTATTAGATTTTAAATTGACACTATGGAGTTTAATAGGGAATACTTATCTGTTATTTAACTTAAGCGTTCACTTTAAAGCTGAGCTTAAGTGTGTATACCCGTATTAATTATCCTTATAGAATGATATAAACAAAATTCTATAGTTTAAATATTATTGAATAATTTGTGGAAACTTGGGCGAAAAAGAGACACGCACATACTCTCTTTGTGACTGTCTATACGAGACTAACTGAAGGAAGACTTTATTATGAAAGTAATATCTTGACAACCAGACTGGTCATCAGTCTACGGAAATTAATTTTGATAGCTGCAGTTCAGATTTAAGCGGTTCATTAAGATGCTAAATAAGAGCTCATTACGAAAACGGAATGGTGTCTTTTAATTAAACACTGCAACTATTAAACCAATATATTGTAATCACGTTGAGGTGTATTATATATATCCAGGTAGGATTGTGAGTCATTTTTTGGTGACGTTCAAAGATTTAGAGAAGGTGATTACCCCCTATTATGTCATCTATTCAATTTCATCGTGGAAGTGATCATGCGCAGGGCAGGTATATATGTAATGTCATAATACTCGCTTATTATATCCAGCTTCTCTTGGCCTCTCCTTACATCCTAACTACCATCGACCTCATGACACATAGCAAGAGTAATATTTTTACCGCTTTTGCTGTTATTGGAAAGGAATCTGTAGTAATGTGTTTAGTGGAGAATAAGGGTAAGGCGAAGTAATTGTTGTCTAGTTGCAGAAATGTATTTCGCTTGGATCTCAAGCTTACGACTGGCAATTATATTTTCGAAGATGTAAAAGATTTCATTTATCTTAGCACCACCGTAAACCGACAACAACTATGTCAACCAGAAAATCAAATGCGAAAGCATCATTGCTAATATGTGCTACTAAAAGTTCACTAGGTAATTGGAATGAAAAGGTCTCTATTTCGATAGATTAAACTTACACTCAATAGAACGCTTTACCAAATTGTGTTTCTGTATGGTACACAAGCGTGAACGCCATCTCAGAATAATGACGCAGCACTGGGAGCTCTTTAGAGAACTTTATCGTAGGATATTTAGTATTCTGAAGCAGAGGCGCCTGGAGAGCAGTGCTGCCTCAAGCCAAAACCGATAACAGGTTGTTAATTATTAAAGTAATTAATTAAAGTAAGTAAGTGAGTAACATTTCTAAAGAAACAGAAAATTGGAAATAAGTATTTATATTTGTATTTATATTTTTAAATCTTTATTAAATATCATAACAATAAATAATTTTGAATATATATTCCACTAATATACACATATATATATGTGAATAATCAATTTTAGTATTTACGTGACATGCTGTAAAGTATATCACCTTCGGAATATGTGTTAGAAATTAACGTTAATTCTCGAAATCATTGATATATTTTCAGTATTGTTATCTAAATGACTTTGAATGCAATGTATAGAGCTAAACATTATTAATATATAAATAAATAATTATTCTAGAGAAACACTTAGAAAAAAATTCAGAGTTTAATTTTATATCTTTTATTCGTTTGGTATTGTTATATTGCAGTTATATGATTAGTTCATACAAATTTCATATGAATAGATAAATAAAGTCTTTACAAAAATTTATGAGCGTCGAATTACCAAGAATTTTTCAAATTGTTGCTGTGCCTCCAATAGCGTAGCATTTTTCGTTTCCGGTAAACATAGGAATCCAAAAATGACGAATGCGAAATATAAAACTACTGTGGCTATGAAGTACGCGAAGAAGACTGGGAACGATATCGCGGTAGCAGCAATGATACAATGTACCACCATCTCAAATATGAAAGTTACAGAGATATTATATGGTTTTGCTGCCAATGGAAATGCTTCACTCAAATAAGCTGAAGAAGAGGTGATGATCAAACCAGCAAAGAATTGAAAAACGTAAAGTAAATACGAAATAACTTTCATTTTAGACTCATCCAATATATTCATTTCGTCGGAGAAATTTATCGCTACACCTACAGCCAATCCACCACATATTAAGACGCCAACCAACATTGGCAGTTTTCGTCCAATAGAGTCCACAGTAAAATAACCAATTAACGTGCCTAGTAAACGTAAATGGCAGAAGAGTTGGAAAGGAAGTACTAAAATGGTATTGGATGTAGTGAACTGATTAATCGATGAGCCAAAAAAAAATGCTGCATTGGTCAAATATGAAAAAGTTAGAGCACCCAAGGCACGTAAAATACATAACTTTAATAAGGCAGGCAATCCTTTTATGAAGCTCTCTTGTATTGGCATTTCATTATTATACGCTACATAACGTTTATGCTCTTCAAGTAAGGCATACGTTTCTTGCGTTCGTATGGATGGACGTTGTAAATTTGTTAATCCTTTAAGTGCATCTTCTTCTTTATTTTGAACAACTTGCAACACTGGAGATTCTATTAGAAAGTATATAGACACGAAAGCGCAGACGCCACAAATAATACTAAGCACACCCTGCATTTTTATGATATTGAATGATTGAGCGAAATAATCATTGTACGATGTACGTATCAAAATTTGAATCCAAATACCAAATGTGAAGGAGAGTGAGTCGATGAGAACTACAAACTTGCCACGCATATAAGACACTGCTTCTTCACTAATCAATACAATTCCTGGTACAAAAGTTAAACCAGTAGCAATGCCATCAATATATCGTGCCGCTATAATTGCATCGAAATCCAATGAGCGTATCAGGAGAATTATGCCTCCAACCATAACCAAAGAAGCTGAAATAATCTGAAAAAAAATTAAATAATTTTAAAATAAAGAGAATATTAATTCCGTTAGTATTTACAAGTGTTATTTTCTTTGGAATTCTATTACACAATACTGCTCCCACTATGGCACCAATTATGCCACCAATAAACCAACAGTAGCGTATATGAGGTGTGGTTACAAAAAGCGCGATTAGAAGATCAAAATTGAAAGCCATGTTCATTCCGCCCGATATCAAAATGCTAAAAACTGGTGATTGAAGAGAAGTGAGTAGTTTATATATAAATTTTAATAATATATTTTTAATAAAATACAATGACGTTGGTTTATGAACTATAAATATGAAAAATAAAATCTTTACGATCAGTTTTGAGATATGTCACACTCACAGGATAACACAGGATAAAAGGATTAATGATTATTTAATCCTTTTTTGGTTATGAGTTAGGATTTATCTTAATCCTAGAACTATGTGTAGAACTAATTTTTAATTTGTACTTACCAGCAGAAGATGATATTGTTTGTGGTCTATTTTTTTTAGCTCTTTGAGCAAAAGTTGTACTAGGAATCGCAGCAGGTGTATTAGGCGGAAACCCTTGCTGGCTTTGTGAATTCATCTTAGGTCCTTCGAATTGTGTTTATAGTTTTTTATTTGATATATTATATATATCCTCTTCAATGCTTTTAATAAAATATCACACTAATTAGGACCTTATTTCTCAAGCTTCACGTTGCAAATGGTGAAAATTTGCGCATTCTAAAATGACTACATTAAATATTTAGCGCTTTATGAGTTTCCTCGATAACGATTCGAAGATAATGCGTTTAATGGTAAATGTTTTTTTTTCATTAAATAAAATAAATATACAATTAAATGCTATCAATTTAAGGAGAACTTGAAAAGAGGGAGGGACAATAAATTTTTATTTTGCAATTTTACAAATTTGTCATGAGTAAATATTTGAGCTAAGCTAAATAAAAAAGACGGGAAATTTCAACTTCAAGCTATAGAATAAAAAACTATTTTATTTTATTTATTTTTATTTTATATCTCACTAGCCGTTTGTTAAATTTAAATTACAATAATAAATATGAATCAGGTGGACGGAACTATAAGATAATACAATAGATCAGATGACCCTAACAAATACCACGCAGATGTTAGACGATTTAATATAAGTAAAATTTATTGTAAATCGCACAAAACAATATATATTTGTCTATAATATAGAATTTCTCTGAGCTAATAGATAATTATATCCATATTGGGAATTTAAAAATCCGCAGATACCTACATATCAGTGACGATTGATTTAAGCTGCGGAGGTGTGCGGTGCACACTTTAACATAATTTACAAAATGTCAAATAAAATAAATAAATTTATTAAAATATCTTTACATCGAGAATTAATATTATTTATAACATTTACATATATATATATTTTTAAAGATTAAATTTTCAGTAAAAACAATTAAATAGATTCGTTCGTGCGAATCGTGGAGTAATATTAGCATGACTTTTTCGGTATGACATTCCTGGATTCGGTACTATATAAAAAATTAATTAAAAATTTAAAATAATTAAAAAAACATGCCACAAATAATGCCTCTACAAACAGAATAGTATTGAAATTTAACAATTAAAAATAAAAAAAAAATGATTAATTAATTCAATTATTCTAGAGCTGGTCTATGATTTCATTTTCATAGCAAAATAACAAAACTCCAGATAAATTAGCGAACATAAAAGTCAAGTACGCGTTTTTCAGTTGCTTAAGGTGCGCTGACTCTGAGCTTCAAATTGAGCAGGACGCGAGTTCGATTCCTGGTACTTGCAGTCTCAAAAATAATTATTGTAATGATTAAATACAAGAATAATTTCCAAGACGACTTATTATGGTTATTTGGCAATACTCGAAACAGCTGTATGGTCAGCCAAAAATTCAATTATTTAAAATAATATAAAAAATAAAATTTTTGTTGTTGTAGTTCACTAGTTTTCGAAAAAAAAACCTCTTCATAGAATTGTCTTTGAAAACTCAATTAATTTTTTTCTCTTAACTGATGTATTTGTTAGGTGTGCTAATATGCTTGCAGCTCAAATCGCAGAACATTTCTATCATATTTCGTCTTTCCCCTTTAAGCAATTTCAATCGCAAATTTCTGCTGTTGCGCACAACTAACTGCATGCATATGAATCGAATATGTTGATTTGCCGAAACACCTAGATGTGCGCTAAAATTCACGTCTCTCCCCTTTTAGTAGTAGCACGCACAAATTTCTGACGCTAGTTGTGCGTAATAGTTGGCCGCACATTTGTACGTCAATTTTGTTTGATAACTGCATAAACATGTATGATATCGAGTACGAACTCTTATGTTTAGAAAAAATTGCTTTGATGTTGTGGGAAGTATGTGATAAGTTGTGTTTCCTCCATATTGATATAATATATCAATTAAATATATATATATATATAAGCATAAATTGCTGATTTAATTTATTTATTTAATATGTTATTATTTTTAATTAATTGTCAAATGTTATATAGTGGTTATAGTGTTGTCTAATGTAATACAGTTATTGTTAAAAAAACATATCATCTATTTCAATTTGTCGTTTTTGATTTAAGTAGTACATGTATAAGCAACAATGTAGAAAGCCACATACCCTTTTAGAGGGCGCACGCGTCGTCACTGCTACATATGTATACAGAAAGTCATATAATAACAAGGCTTAAACTCGAAAATGACTAATTGATCCACGAAACATGATAATCGTATTGTATAAAAATCTGTTCACGTTCTTTCAAATAAAGACAAGTCTAACTAAGTTTAACTTATACTATCCTCAATCCAATCGACCAGTCTTATTTATTGTGTAATGAATTGTCGATCTATAAAAATTCATAAAAAGAATGTTCTTCAAAGGAATAGTACAAAACTATACAAACTATAGAAAATAGCGAATATGGTGCGCCGTTAAATCATTGTCTGGGTGTTCGGAAAGTAATTTCGTTTTATTTTCCCAACAGACAACTCATGGAATATACTCTCGCATCCACTATATTCTTTTAATCTGGCACCTTCTGATTATTATTTGTTCCAATATTTACATGTGGTGAAACTTTTTTGAACGATAAAACCCTTGTGATATATAGGAGGAGATCTAAATCTCAAGAATAAGTAAGCGTGTATAGTTTACTGCAAGATCTTTTAATTTAGATTGCATGTCTGTATGTTTAATCGACATATATCGTCTGCGTTATCGATATCTTCAAGTTGTTCAGTGAAATTCCAAAAACTGACAGGATTTTTTTCGCTAACGTAATATGCATTATACTGTCGATTACTATTAGAAACCAAACTGGTGCCATGAAAAATCACGATTTAACTACAGATTACGGGGTAAGAGGACTCTGCACTAATTAGGTTTATAATTTTTTCGGGAACTCCATACACAGTCTCTGTATACTGAGTTGAATGCGGTTCGATAGTCGACAAATAACGTTGTTTTCTTATCAACAGTCAAGCGATTTATTTATGCAATTAAGGAGAAATCTCGAATGCACTACGGAAGTAATTGAGAACAGTATTATGCCCAGATAGTTTTTATAGTTCGACAGGTCGCACTTCTTTGAGTTCTTTATAATTACTTTACATTACAATATTACAATATAGTGATTTGTTTATATTATGTTATTATACTTCACACTCATTTTATGTTTATTATATGTTTTATTTTTGTTGCGAAATATAGACCATATAGATTATATTATTTTATATAAAAAGTAATAAAGCTGAAACTATTTTAAAATTGAATTTTTGTGACCGTAATTAACTATTATATAATATTATTATATATATTCCGCTTTCATTTCATATCATTATAAGCAACAAATAACTGACAGAGGTTTAATTTTTATAATATTAAAATTATATTTTACTTCTCAAGATCACTTTCTAATTCATATTATTCTATCTCTTGTTAGTTATAACAAGTTTAGCGGACAATATGTATATATTATTTCTTTAAGATAATGCCATGTGTAGGTGGGTTGAAGTTTTAGAAATACGACTTTGAATAACTTACATACAGCCACATTTTGTGGACCTTTCTCCTAGCAGTTCGGTACAAAAAGGTCAAGACGATGCTTTGGGGAATAAATTTACATATAAAATTTATGTAAATGCTTTGGGGTGGCACTTTAAAACGGATGGGAATTTTGAAGATCCTAATAAAACATCTCTCTATAAAAAATGTGTCGATGTTCGATGTTTTAGAAAATGTTTTAAAATAATTTCACTGGCATAACATAAGAATATATTGATGCAGAGATGAAATTTATTCAGCTGGATTATCATATCTGTGTATGCCGATCAATTCTGAAATAGTGACTATAATCAATATAATCTGTAAAATGAGACTATTTTTCTTAAGTTAAAACTTTAAAGTTTCAAACAGATAACACAATAAGTTTTACAAGACGAATACATGGGTTAGGATGTGAATGAGTGTCGGATGAAGGTAGGCGGACGGGTAAAAAGGTGAAAGAGTGGATTGTGGGTGCATGGGGTTTAACTTGAAATTAAACCGGGTCCAGACGGAGGAACCTGGCCACTTCAATGGAGTGGATTTAAAGGTCAATTGGACGGTGGTTTGTGGAGTAAGAAAACAGATAAGCGACGTCACGGGGGGTAAATGTGTAGTTTGGGCACACATTAAGAATAGACATATCTATACCTGACAAGTTAGCCACGACAATTATTGCTGCACGAACAAGTTGTCGTTCTTCCTGAGAGATATTAGGCGCGGACCTGTTGAGAAGCTTGCATCTGTGTAGAGGGCTGTTAATCCAGGTTTAAAAAATAACTCATTTATTACAATTACTTTGACTTATTATATATTACCCATTATTATTTTGCTTTACATTAATTTTTATTTATAATAATAGAAAATAAAAATAATTTCTAAAATAAAACTTTTTCTATACTGATGCTAACAGTATTGCACTGAGGTCATCAAAAAATCGTACAAAAGAACTAATATCAAAGGATATGGTATATTTTTTTAATATTTTAATATCTTTGATTTGTGGTTTATCATAAACCATATGAACTTGATTGTAACTACAATTCATAGAGAAAAATTTAAGTCGGTGCAATATAATTGATGATCCTAGTATTGTAATAAACATATGTTGCCTCAAGAGCATTACTTGCAATTACTTGATATATTTCAAAAAAATATTAATCATGTAATCCTACATATAATAAAAATTATATTAGTTTATTATAGAAGAATATATTATTAAATTTTTTTTGATTTTTTTAATATAGCAAACACACAGTTTATAATTTTAATTTTATTTTAAATTCAAATATATGGTATAAAAATCTTTATAAATTTACACGATACTGTAAAGTCACTTACATTTATTAAATCTACAATTAACACAGAACTCGAAATTAATTCAAATAACTTGAGTGGAGTAATTGCTTAAATTTTATTTGAGCTTCAAGCAGAGTGTCGTGTTTCGTTTCTGGAAGTGTTAATAATCCATACAAGAATAAAGCCAAAAAGATCGCTGCAGTAACATAGAAATAGGAAGCAGTGTCAGTGAAGTCAAAAGCAGTTAAACATATAATTTGCACCAGCAGTTCAACAATGAAGGCAATTCCAATATAATAAGGTTTAACAACCAATGGAAACGCTTCACTCAGATATGCTGAACTGGAAGCTATGCAGATACCAGCGAAAA